AGGATAAAAGTCTAGCTTAATCAATAAAAATAATCACAGAGCATCAAACAGAATGAGGAGGCAGAAAAATTCACCCAAATTGATGGATCAGGATAAAATCCTGGGAAAAGTCCCCAGTACCATAGAATTAACCAAATTACTGGAAGACTTCAGAACAACAGTTTTAGTGACATTAGGAGACCAATGGATGAACAACAGGTGTGGAATGTACTGTAGTAGATTGCTAAGGACAGAGAAAGCATGAAAAAGCTCCAAATGGAAGTCTCAGAGAAAAAGGAATATAATAGCTGAACTAAAAAATACAGTAAAGGGGCTCAACAGTAGATTCAGTGAGACTGAGGAATGAATCAATGAGATGGGAGACAAGGAAGTGGAAAACATCTAAAAAGATGAACAAAAAGAGAAGAGAATTTAAACAAATAAAGACAGCATAAGAGACTCATGGAGCAGTATCAAGAGAAACAACATAGGCATCCAAGGGTTTCCAGAGGAGACAAAAGAGAGAAAGGGGCAGAAACCCTATTTGAAGAAGTGGCAGCTGGGAACTCCTGCATAATGAGGAAGGAAACAGAACCCATCTAGATCCAGGAAGCTCAAAGAGTTCCAAACAAAATAAACCCAAACACATACACCAGTACACATTATAATTAAAATGGCAAAAACTAAAGATAGAGAATTTTAAAGCAACTAGAGAAAAGCAATGTGATGGCATCTCATTGTGGTCTTGATTTGCATTTCCCTGATAAGTGATGATGCACGTTTTTTCATGTGCATGTTTGTAGTTTATATTTCTTAGGAGAAGTCTTAAGTCTGTCCTGTCCTGTCCTGTCCTGTCCTGTCCTGTCCTGTCCTGTCCTGTCCTGTCCTGTCCTGTCCTGTCCTGTCCTGTCCTGTCCTGTCCTTTCCTTTCCTTTCCTTTTCCTTCCTTTCCTTCCTTTCCTTTCCTTTCCTTTCCTTTCCTTTCCTTCTTCCTTTCCTTTCCTTTCTTTCCTTTCCTTTCCTTTCCTTTCCTTTCCTTTCCTTTCCTTTCCTTTCCTTTCCTTTCCTTTCCTTTCCTTTCCTTTCCTTTTCTTTCCTTTCCTTTCCTTTCCTTTCCTTTCCTTTCCTTTCCTTTCCTTTCCTTTCCTTTCCTTTCCTTTCCTTTCCTTTCCTTTCCTTTCCTTTCTTTCCTTTCCTTTCCTTCCTTTCCTTTCCTTTCCTTTCCTTTCCTTTCCTTTCCTTTCCTTTCCTTTCCTTTCCTTTCCTTTCCTTTCCTTTCCTTCCTTTCCTTTCCTTTCCTTTCCTTTCCTTTCCTTTCCTTTCCTTTCCTTTCCTTTCCTTTCCTTTCCTTTCCTTTCCTTTCCTTTCCTTTCCTTTCCTTTCCTTTCCTTTCCTTTCCTTTCCTTTCCTTTCCTGTCCTGTCCTGTCCTGTCCTGTCCTGTCCTGTCCTGTCCTGTCCTGTCCTGTCCTGTCCTGTCCTTTCCTGTCTGTGTTCTTTGTAGATCTTCACTATCAGTCCCTTGTCAGGTATATGGTGTGCATTTATTTTCCTACATTCAGTAGGCTGTCTTTGCATTTTAGTTATGGTTTCATTCATCTTGCAGAAGTTTTTTAGTTTTCTATAGTCCCAATTATTTATATTTTCTTTTGTTTTCCTTATTGTTGGGGGCAAATTCCTAAAGACATCATTGAACTTATCCATGATGTATTTTGCCTATGTTTTTTCTATGTATTTTATGATTTAAGGCTTTACATGCAAATCTTTAATGCATTTTGAATTGATTATTGTGCATGATGTGAGATCGTGGTCTAATTTCACTCTTTTTGCATGCAACTGTCTAGTTTTCCCAATACCATTTATTGAAGAGGCTTTCCTAGCTATGGTCCTTTTGTCATAGACTAACTGTCCATATAGGTGTGGGTTTATTCTGGCCTCTCAATTCTTCTAGTTGGTCTGTGTGTCTGTTTTCTTTACAGTACTAGGCTGTTTTAATTATTACAGCTTTGTAATAGAGTTTGAACTCTGGATATGTGATACCTCCACTTTTTTTTTTGTCAGAGTTGCTTTGGTTATTTGGGATCTTTTGTGAGCCATGTGAATTTCAGAACTGTTTCTTCCACTTCTTTGAAAAAATGCCCTTGATATTTTTATTGGAATTGTGTTGAATCTATATATTGCTTTGGGTGGGATGGCTATTTTGACAGTGTTGATTCTTCCAATCCACGAGTGGGGAATATTTTTCCATTTCTTTGTGTCCACATTTATTTAACAATGTCTTACATTTATCTTTGTATACATCTTTTACCTCCTTTATTAGTTTTACTCCTAGGTATTTAATTTTTGGGGGGTTGTAATTATAAATGGGATCGCTTTCTTAATTTCTTCTTCTTTGTATATATCTCTTGTTTGTATATAGGAAGACAGTGGAGTTTTGTGTATTGTTTTATATACTCCCACTTTGCAAAACTGATTGTTTCTGTTAGTTTTTCCACCGAGTCTTGAGGGCTCTCCAGGTATATTATCATGTCATGTGAAAATAATGATAGTTTTACTTCTTTCCCAATTTGAATTCCTGTTATATCTTTTTCTTGTTTAATTTTTCTAGCAGCTCTTTCTAATACTTTGTTGAATAATAGTGGCAAGAGGGGTCAAAATAAGGGGGGTGCAATTATATGGGGAATATTAAAAAAATAAATAAATCTTAAAAAAGAAAAAGAGTTGACATCTTGTCTTCTACCAGATCTTAGAGGAAAAGTTTTCAGGTTTTCACCATTGGGAGTGATATTATCTGTGGGTTTGTTGTAGATGGCTTTATTATGGTAAGGTATGATTCTGTTTATCCCCAGTTTTTTAGGGTTTTCATCACAAATGGATGTCTTTGATAGGATTCTGAAGATTTATTCTCTTTCCATGTTGTATTTTCCCCCCAAGGATTCATGTGGCCATTTGTTTGGGTTTCTCCTTCTCCCTATTATTTGGTTTGGGATCCAGCTGCTGTAGATGGGGCTTCTGCTGAGCATGGCTCCTCCCCTCTCAGTAGTCAGGTGTCTCACTGGAATGGGTGGTCAGCTGGTGGGGGTCTCATGGGATGTTGTGAGACTTGGGAATGTTCCTATCCTTCCCTGACACAAATTCAGAACCTCACTGGTCCAAGCAGACAGCTAGTGAGAAAATAAATTCACCTTATTTTCTGAGGCATTTGAGGTCACAGTTAGACCATTCAGGTAGTATTATTTGTTAGTTGGAGAGCTTTGGAGACTATAACTGGGCTTTTGGATTTAGCATTGGGAAACCACTGATTACCCTTAGCAAGGACAGATTGTAGTGGTTCAAAGAGCAAATATATTGTGAGGTCAAGGAAACAATGCATATATTATAGGATATACCTTATCCTTTCAATAAACTTGATTGTGAAGGCAGGGAGAAAGGGGATGACAAAAGTAGGCCAGAGATTTGGAGGGTCTTTATTTAATTCTGGAGTACTTCTATGCTGCAAGGCACCTGTGGAGACCCATTTGTTATAGAAACAGCAGAATGAAGGAAATATTGGTCCATTCTGGTTTTAGGAGTGATGAAAGAATGTATTTTGGGACATAGATAGAGGAAACTTAGAAGCAAGTACACCTCATACAGATAAGAAAGAAATGAGGATGTGAGTGGAGAAATTTCCCTCAACAAACATTGTTGAGTATAAGCACCAGGCACTTTGTAGGTGTTTTGGCGGGAGATTAAAAGCCTCTTCTAGATAGTGGAAACAAAAAAGAGGGCATGAGGCAAGGCCTTCCTATACAGGAGAGAGGACAAACAGTGAAAAGGAATTAGCACCTGAAACACTGAGGTGGAGACTCTGGTGGACCCAGAGCTTGGAAAAAACTGGATTATAGTGGTGGTTATCAATAACTGTGGTTATAATCATGTCTAGTTTTTGTTTGTTTTTTACAATTATTGATTTTTACATAAGCATCAGGTGAAAATTAATTTGGGACTATTTCAAGAAAATGAATTTTTATGACAAAGAAAGCTGTTCTTATTTGTCCTTTCCCCTTCCCCTGCTTTGATGACTTTTCTTGAAGCTAATTTGGGTAAAGAAAGCCACCGCACCAAAAGTGCTTTGGTACCCTGGCGTGATTTCAAAGAAATCTCCTTTCCCACTTAGTTAACTACATTTCCCCAGGAAAAAAAAAAAAAAAAAAATCTCTGTCAATGTAACATCCTTTAACAGGACTCCTGCTGGTAGGTTCTTGTATCTTGCTGTGGCAGCTGTGAACATATATACTATTGATTGTTAATGTGTGATATAAACCCGACTGGAACATGCCTACTAATTGGTTTGAGAGCTAGATATAGACAATGCTGTCTTATAGTAGCTTGTGTAGATAGGCCTAGTCATAGGGTTAATTCTGCTTGACAGCACATCAGCCGCATCTTGAGAGTAATTACCCAACAGAAGTTTTCCCACAGCCGAGCTGAGAGCTTCAAAGGCTTCTGAATTTACAACCAGTATTAACCTATATCTGAAACATAATGTTCCCACAAGGGCTCAGATTTTTTTCCTCCCTCTTATTAGATGTATGGGGTTACTAGGTTCATTTACTCTGTGAAAAACAGTGAAAAATTTCTTGGTGTTGATTAACTAGAAATTTTTTTATAATAAGAGGATAATTTTAAATTGGAGATTTTTATTGCTTGATTTTAATAGTGGAACAAGTTAATCAATAGAGATTGGGTGTTTTTTTAAAAAACATAATATATCCCTTTCCTCTCAAAAACAAGCTTAAAAAGTTAATATCTTTTCCATATTCTGCCATCTTTACGGATAGGTACATATTTAGGGGACCTAGGGTAATGCATACATTTAAAATGGTTAAAATAAATATGAATTTACATTTTGAAAAGCTGTTTTACTTGTTTATCAATGTACTGAATCTGTAACTATTGCATCTTTTTCTCCCCATAAAATAACTATTATTCCTTTATAAGCATATTTTTGTATTGTTAAAAAATTTCTTTCCTTTTGCAGGTCAGAAACCAAATTTGACTCTGGTTCAGGTATGTTTACATTAATAATGTTATTCTGAGTATATTTTATTTACATTATTCTCTGAGGAGTAATTCATCAGATCAAGAACCATTTTGATTTTAAACAGACTAGGCAGTTTCTTTTCAAAACATGAGCCCCACCTCAAAGCAGAGCTATTGGCTGCTTGGAAGCATAACTTGAGATGTTCACTTTGGGATTCTTGATAGTTCTGCAATAAGCATTAAACGCTCTATATCTGCAGAGTTTCATTTTAAAAGCAGAGTTGGGGGTTTTACAATACTCATTGCGCAAAATGGATATTGTTCTCTCAGTGGACAAAACATCCTGAATAATTTGAAAATTCTCTGCAAGTGACTTGTCATCAAATATGGGTAATAGAGCCACTTACTCCAGCAAACTATAAAGAGTTTTAGCCAATAGAGAGAGAAATTTGTCTATGACATATAGTTTTCTAAAAAAATTTTGCTTTATTGGGAATGGGAATAATGGAAAATTAAGATCACCTTACACCATTACTTTGTATCTATTAAGATAAAATTTTACATTCTCAAAAACAGTGGCATATCAGCCTCATTGGATGTTTTCTACTCATTAAGCATGAATGTAGCTATATAATCCTCAGATTTGGCTGTGTCTTTATATCACTTGTTGAGATTTACGTGCTTCAAAGTTTCTGATGGTGTTTACAATTAAAGCACAAAAATCACCTCATGTAATGGAATTATCCCCTCTGATGAACTGTTAAATAGATAAACATTAATTTTCAATTCCAGTAGAAAATAATTTGTAGAAAAATATATAACTTATTGAATTTAAAACTATTATTCTAGTTGGGTTACTTTATGTTTTAATGTAAAAATGTTTTTGTTTATTGTGTTCCCAAAGGAACCAAGGGCTGTATATTGTTTTTGATACTACTGTTAAGGAGCCAACATTTCTTCTTCGAAAGCTTCATCTTTCTTTTATTGCATAGTTTTATGAATTTTTCTAAGCTAGTGAGACATTTAAAATGTGAAGTCTGTACATTTGACTTAACAATTTCACCTAATTTGAGAACCATTATTTTAGAATTCTTTCCATTTTGAGTTTTCTTGAGCCTCTGAATACATGTGTCAGGGATGCAATAAGCATTGTTTTACAATGTTGAGATTTGGAGAGTCAAGGCATAGGGACATTGTATTTGACTGTTACGAATTCATAGATGATTCAAAATCAATTGAAAAGTCTTTTTTATACTTTAATAGTTATTATTTCTAAGTATAATGAAAAGAAATGGGCAAAATTGATGGAAAATGAATTTTTACATAAAAGTAACCATTTTTATCATTGCCAGCCAGTTACAAAATTTTTATTCTGAACTCGCTATGTTATGTTCTGATTTAAATCAAGTCAAAAACTGGTTTTAAGGTATAGGATCTGGAATATAGCTTTTTAGAATAAAAAAGTCTACTAGGTTCATTTTGAAGGTAAAACCTGGAAATAGTGTAGGAAACTGAAATATTAGGCAGCTATTGTCAAAGTCAGGAAATTTATGTTAAATCTTCAAATCCAAATTAAAGTGCACTGTTAAATTCCTGTAGTGAAGGTTAGTATTTATCATGAAAATAGTTATACCATCTGTACAGGCACACATCTTTCACTTTTGTGACCAAAGATTTTGTCCATGACTCTTATTTTTTTCAAGTCTTAATTTTTGAAAGAATCTCTATCATAGACAACATCTGTATCCCTTTGAAAACTACAAAGTTCTGTACACTGAAAATTTTTTTGGAAAATCTGGCTAAAAGTTTATTTTAAAGTTTTGAATTAAATTGTGTTGTATTAAGAATTCATTTGGTTTCAAATTGAGGAACAGGTAATTATTTTTTCCTTAAGAGCTTTTTCAGCTTACTATTGAATGAGGGAGTCATGACAAAGTAAACTAGAAATTTGTTTTTTGATATTTTATATCAAACAAATTTTGGTAAGAAAAAAGTTAGCATTGGAATGACTAAATCATTGACTTTAATAGATTCAGATTTTCTATTATCCACCAAGTACAGAAAGTAAGCTAGCTCTGTTTGATGTTGTGTACAGCTGTAGTGTTACTGGCAAAGTAAGAATTTTTTAAATTAAAGATGCCAACTTCACTAAGGCAAAAAACAAAAACCAACCTTAGAAATAAATACTAAGGTCAGGTGACTTGTTATAAAGGAAAGGATTTCAAAGTGAAATTATATATATTTCACAGAAAGTATCTAATTTATGCAGAGTTTATTATACATTTGCAGTTTGTATAAATAAGTTTCAGTTGTGAGTGAGGGATTTAGGAGGAAGGAGAGTTTTCATTGTCAGCACATGATAAAAAATGTCAGTTGTTGAATATATACTAAAAGTATCAAACTAGAAAAAGATTAAAATTTTTCTTATTAGAATTGATTAAGTTTTTTCTTTAAAAACAAACCTACAACCTCTTTGTGTTTTTATTATGTTCCAAAAGTTTTTTATAAAACTTGAACTGTATATAGAAATAGAACTATATATGGAGCTGTATATGGATGTAGAGGGATAATATAATTAGTATGCAAAATATCATCATTTAAATTTTACTCATTAGTAATTTTCCATATTTGTTTCATTTTTCTTTTTTTTGCTTGAAATATTTTAAAGTAAAATACATACATGTTATATAATTTCTTAAGGCTGAAAGTTACATATTGACTCAACTTAGTTAATTTTTGATGTTTTCATCTATCTCAGAAACTAGGGACATACAATTCTTGGAAAGGATGCATAAGTAATGTGGCATTACCATGATCACATTCAGTTAAAGGGATTCTGAAGGTTCTATTTGTGTTGAAGCTTAAGAAAACCTTCAACCAGAAGGTAGAGGCCCTGAATTGATTCTGATCTGAGAACCCCAGTAATAGTCTACCCTCAAGATTAATTTGATTAAAACTTTATCTGTCATCTAGCTGTATCTACTCTTTGTACTGAGTTGTATACTAATTAAATTCTTTTTCTGGTGGTTTATAACTCAATCACCTAAAGTTATTCAGCTCTGCCAGTAGAGAACAATCAGTCTACCTTCTTTTAAAAGGGGCTTTAAAGTTTCCATTTTAATACTGTTTACTGATTGATATACTAATGTTGCTTACCTGTGATCATATGTAGTTGGTGATTTTAGTAATAGAGTAAAACAGACTTCCTTTTATGTTCAGAAGTAGCAAGAAGCTGTGCTCCTCTCCCCACCTCCCAAGAAGGGAAGTTAAAGTTAGTTGATGCTGGAGGAAGCAGAGCATTGAGTTTAATGTAGTGATTAAACATGAAAGCCATATATCAAATCTCAGGAGAAACATGCTTTTGAAAGAGGCAGAGAACTGTGGAACATATTGCATGATAGGCTATGTAAACAGAGCCCTGGAGGTCAGTGTGTGGATGCAAACCAATTAAAGAAAGAACTTACTGGCTTTGCTTTCTATCATCTGGATGGGGAGGATCACAAGTTAACATGCACAGAGTTGAAGTGTAAACTTTGCTTGAATAAGCTAGGCACCTTTGGAAACTTTATTAACTCTTTCAATTCACTACCAAGTTTCTTGGTTTTTATTTTTTTGATCAAAGTACCTACAAATTTAGAAACCAAAAACAAAATATATGCTCTTTCAGCCCTTCTGTATATAACCATCAACAAGGTGCTAGTGATGAGTAGAATGGAAGAGAAAAAGGATGAACTACTACTAAAAAGACCAAAGTTGGCTGTGTAGTCAGATTTCAAGAACACGCACATGTCTTTTAAATATAACCCATTCGGAAAAGGAGATGTTTTGCAGAATAACTGAAAAAAAAAAAAAAAAAAGATGTTTTTCTCTTTTCCCAAATTCTGGGTATAAGGCAAAAAATATAGTTGGAATTTACTAGTCATTACAGAACAACAGGATATTGTTATTACTGTTCTATTAAAATAGAATAGTTTTCTGACCAAGAAGAATCTGAAGTCTGTAAGTTAATAATTGTGTTAAGGACTGCCTGGAGTCTAATTCTGTGGTCCTAACCTTCTCAGGCAATGTTTGGGTGAGAAAATGAAATACCAAGTTAAATGGTATAGTTTCATGGTCCATAAACATTGAAAACAAAGATTTTTTTTTTTTCTGTAGAGTCATGTTGGCTGAGAAAGTGAATAAGCTTATGTTTAGTGCTTGTTGATTCTGGGCTGCTTGGAATAGCTGTACTAAGGAAATGGGCTCATAGAACACAGCAACTCAAAGGTATAAGATTTCATGAAAGCAAATTATGGAGGATTAAGAAACCTAATGAGCATGAGCATGGTTTAGTGTGGAGGAGGGAGCTCACTATTAAATAAAGCCCAAGAGTGTACAAGGTTAGGAGATCCTAAAAGACAGGATAATAAAAGGCACAACGGAATATAATTATCCTGAAGAAAGGAAAAAAAAACTTCGAGGGAACAAAAAGCAGCTAGTGTCGCTTTTAAGCTCCATGGTTAAAAAGGAATCTACCAGGATAAGGAAATCAAAGAATATGATCAGCTAAAGCTTGGGGTGAAAACATAGGGCAGGGAAAAATAAGAGTGGACTAATAATGGTAGTCACTAAGGTGAAAGGAAATGAAGAATTTGAATATAGTAGAACTAGAGTTTTAAAACTTTATTAACAAATGAGGCAGTGTGCCTTACATAGTAAGCCTTTCTCAGGAAATAATAAAGAAAACATTTTCTGATCTTATAAATGTAAGAATATGTTGACATTACTTTTTAGCTGCTACAAATCAGTCCTGTCATTTCAAATTTCTTATTTTTGAAGATTTCATAACAATGAACAAGGAAATAAAAAGACCTATAAGAACATTGAAATCTGTCACTCAGATATAAAATTTCTTGACTATGACTATTCATTCAACATATATTTATTAAACATACTATATTGCCAGATGCTGAGGTGAGAACTCTGAACAGGGTGGATACAGTTCCTTTTCTTATGGAATTTTACAGCTAGTTGGTCTATTATACAAA